ACATCACAGAAGTCTCTGAGCCTCATCAAGGAGCCCCCACTCCTGATAGAAGGCAATGGCCACGTCCTCAAAGTTCATGTCTGTGCTGGACGCTGCGCCCTGGGCTGCGGGACCGGAGCGGCGCCGGCACCGAGGCTGGAGGGTCCAATGGGGTGAGGCTGAGGGGACTCTGCGGCGGAGAGGAGTCGGGAGCCTCGGGGACCCCAATCCCGGGTTTGGGGGCTCAACCAGCCTCAGGCCCGCCCTGCGCAGCGGGGACGCTGCCTCCCAAGCCTCCTCCTCCGCGCCACCAACGCTCAGCCGCGTGCCGAACCCTGCAGGTCCGTTAACGGAAGCCACAAGGTCCGCCCCAAGGACGATACCGGAAGTCCCCGCCAAAGTTCTTTTTGTTGTTGAGTAGTATTCCATCAAAAGCATGTACCACAATTTGTTTATTCATTTGCCTATCATGGACATTTGAGAAGATCCCGAGTTTTAGCTTTTCCAAAAAAAGCTACTCTGAACATTCAAGGATACGCCTTTGTGAGGACCTGTTTCCATTTCTCTCAGATATGCTACTTTTTTCTTTTTTTATTAAAATATTTTTTCAATTACAGTTGGCATGCAATATTACATTAGTTTCAGGTATGCAGCATAGTGATTAGACATTTGTATACCTGACAAATTGAACACCCAGATAAGTCTAGTACCTATCTGCCAATAGATATGTTACTTTTTATTTTATTTTTATTTTTTGGACTTAACAGTTTATTATTATTTATGTGTCATTTTAAAAGCATTGATCCATTAAATCATGTAGAAATAAGTATGCAAAAAGTTGGCAAAACAAAGCATACTTTAAACTTGTTTAAGTATAGAGATAATCTGAAATTCTGGATTTTTCAGTCACTTCATTATTATGCTGTGGCAGCCAAGTAATCCTTAACTTCAGTTGGAGTAAGCCTCCTAAATCCAGCTTCATGGCAGATTCCAGCTTCTACATTATCTTCTGTCACTTGCCCTTCAAAGCTTTCCTTCAGGGTTAATAGGGCTGTATGAATGGCATCTTCAAGTTCTAGATCTTCATTATATCTTTTCTCAAGGAAAGTTTCCCATTTACATGGTTCTTTCCCACTGCTGTGGCTTTCCAGGCAAAGTAGGCTCTTGATGGATCTAAATAAAATAAATATGGTCACCCCCTCATTCCAACCACAAATTAGTAAAACTCTCCAATGGGCGAACATTACGTGACGGGCGTATTCCTGCACCACAGAAGCTACTCTGCACCAGCTGAGCGGTGGGAATGGGTTCTTGGTAAACAAGATAAGATTGCTGAGCCAGATCCCAGCTCTGTGCCCAAGCACTCTAACCCGGGCGCGGGCCACCATAGCCAAGCCTGTATGTTTGGTGACTGGCTCCACTTTGTGTACACTTTGCTCACCATACAGAATGGGTTTCTGTTTCTCCTCAGTTGCCAATACCACACCATTTGCATCTTTAATTCCCACTGAAGCGGGGTGGGGGCTCCTCCAGCTACAGCCGCTAAAGCACATGCAATCTGGACAAGTTTACCAGACGGCTGAACGTGATCAGCGAGGAGCTGTAACCTGCTCCAACCACGCTCTGCCATCTTTACCCGGAGACTAGGTATGTAACTTTTTATTTGTTAATCCTCACTGGAGGATATTTTTCCATTTATTTGATGGGGAGGGGGGAGAGAGAGAGAGAGAGAGAGAGAGAGAGAGAGAGAGAGAGAGAGAGATTGGGTGCCTCCTGCATGCGCCCTTGACCAGGAATCTAACATGCACAGGCAGACTTCTAACCACAGGCCATGGCTAGATGTGTTACTTTTTTTCATTTAATTGATTTCAGAGAGGAAGGGGGAGGGAGAGAGAATCATGGATTGGCTGCCTCCTGCACGCCCCACACTGGGGATCAAAGTGGGCATGTGTCCTTGTGTCCTGGCGGGAATCAAACCATAACCTCCTGGTTCAATAGGTCGACACTCAACCACTGAGACACACCAGCCCAGGCTAAGTGTGTTACTTTTTAAAAATGAATTTAATGCCATCCAGGTGCAGGTAGTTCTCCCAGGCTCTTTAAAGGACAACCTGGAACCGTGACTGTTTTAACTTCTCTGCTTTCTCTTGCAATTTCACATGGTTCTTGTTTTTGATTGAAACAGGAGCCGCCCAAGCCCTCTGCCTGAGAATGGAGTCTCAGCTGGCCTCAGTGTTGCCCGACATTGTGAGCTCCAGGGTGGGCAGCAGGAGCTCAGGCCAGCCAGGGACTGTCATCATGGGAGATATTTTCCTCCTTCTTTAACCAGAAAAAATTAATTTTTAAAAATATGTAACAGCCAGGCTGGCATGGCTCAGTGGATGAGCATTGATCTATGAACTGATCTATAAACCAGGAGGTTACGGTTGGAGTCCTGGTGGGGACACATGCCTGGGTTGCCAGCTCGATGCCCAGTAGGGGGCATGCAGGAGGCAGCCAATCGGTGATTCTCTCTTATCAGTCATGTTTCTCTCTCTCCCTCTCCTTTCCTCTCTGAAATCAATAAAATATATGTATATATATTTAAAATATGTAACAGAAAAAAAACACAAAGCATAAACCACAGAAATGGATATGGATATATATATATATATATATATATATATATATATATATAATATTTTCATTATTACCCAACAATAGCTACACTCCAACTTCACCAGATACTTACTGGGCACCTGTTAAGTGCCAGGAGAACTGCTGCTAAGGGCCAGTCCCTGGGGATACTAAGGTGAGCAAACAGTCCAGGGGGGGCAAGCAACATTAGAAGAAAGGACCAGGGAGATAGGAGAGCTTGTGACAGGGGTACCTGGGGTGTCTGCAGGGCGTAAGGGGAGGCCAGTGCAGCCAGAGCACACAGAGCAAAGGGTTGTGGCCCACAGCAGAGGTCAGGCTTAGTGGAGGCCGGAGCACAGGGGCTTGCAGAGTGCAGAGCAAGTTGGCAGCCTGGACTTCAAAACCCCAGGCTCCTTTCTGTCTTGTCTAAATTCCACCCAAAAAGCTCCCTTTTCTGACTTGTTCAATTTCCACTCGCAATATGGCTCCCTGGGTTGCAGCAGCACATTTGAGCACTCAGGACTGGGACTTCGTATTCAGGGCAAATCGTCCACCTGTTCCTTCCACCAGGTCACTATTTCCTCCTCCACCCATGGAAGCAGGGGAGAATCCTATCTATTTGGTAGGAATTAGTTGATTGAAGTGTGTGAAGCAGCAAAAGGCCTGGGATTCAGTAGCAGCTCCACAAATATTTAGAGCCAGTCCCTGGGTGCGAACAGCCTTGCCAGGGTCTGAAACCCCTGCCTTGGTTCCTGTTACCAGACCAATCAGGTAATGGGTTGTTCCCTACTCTCTCCACCTGATACACACACACACACACACACACACACATACACACACATACACACACACGCACACACATACACATACACACACATACACACACACATACACACATACACACATACACATACACACACATACACACACACATACACACATACACATATACACACACACACACAAACTGCTTCCAGCTCCTCTTTGCCCAGATAAAGATTAGCCCATCCCCCCTTGTCCCCTCCCCACCCTCTGCCCACGATCCTCCCAGTGCAGCTGAGCCATCCCAGTCCCTCCCCACCCTATACCAGTGATTTTCTTTTTAATATATTTTATTGATTTTTTACAGAGAGGAAGGGAGAGGGATAGAGAGTTAGAAACATCGATCAGCTGCCTCCTGCACACTCCCTACAGGGTATGTGACCGCAACCAAGGGACATGCCCTTGGCTGGAATTGAACCTGGGACCCCTGAGTCTACAGGCTGACGCCAAACCGGTCAGGGCTATACCAGTGATTTTCAATCTTTTTCATGTCATGGCACACATACTAGTAAACTACTTACTAAAATTCTGCCGCATGCCAAAAAATACATTTTTTTGCTGATTTGAACCCCCACCCCCCAAAATAGGTGTAATTTTGATTCATTCACACTAGACAGCTATTGTTGTGTTGGCTGTTATCACTTTTTATTTGACAATCTAAGGGAAAAGAGGTCAGTGCCCCTGACTAAATAGTCAGGTATTGCATGTTTTTAAAAAATTCTTGTGACACACGGGTGTGCTGCAACACGCTGGTTGCAAACCACCGCCCTATACAAACACACCCGCGGACCGGGAGAGCCTCCGACTTCCCCGACCCCTGCCCTGCTCTCTCAGGCAAGAGTCTGGCTCTGCCGGCTGCGCAGGGGAAGGAGGGGCTCTCTGTGAGAGCGGGTGGTGGGTCTGTGTGGCCATAGTCTCTCTGGGTAGAAGTGTCTGTGTACTGAATTGGTATCGGTGCCCCTGCGTCTCTTAGTGTGGGTGTCAGGCATCTGTGTGTGTTAGTCTGTGTCTCTCATCAATGCAGTGTGGGTCTGTGTGCTGTGTGTCTGTGTGTCTGTGTCTGTTCACCTGCCCTGGTCCCATTCCTGGCCAAGCCCCCGAACCTCCGCCTTCTGCTTGACTTATACTTGAATTTATAGCCTCTGCCATGCCAGGCAGAAGGGTTTTGCTGAGGGGTGAAGGGATTGAATGACTAGTTCCCTTTCAGAGCCTCAAGCACTTGTCCTGAATTGGGGAGACAGCCCAAGGCCTTTTTTTAAAGGTTTAATTGACATATATTAGTTTAAGGTATGCAACCTTTTGATCCCCTTCTCTCATTTCACATCCTCCCCGCCCCCACCACCTTTGGATAATCACCATCTGCTTTCTGTGTCTATGAGCTGGAGGGGTTTTAAGTTTTTTATTGTGTGTTTTG